GTGAGCCGCCCAGAGTCACCCATTGGGGGAGATGGGTGGCATACAAGTCTGAAAATAAATATAAATAAATAAATAAATAAATAAATAACACCCACTTAGGAGCTGGCCCTTCCTTTGGGTTGTCTCTAATAGCTGTGAGGGTGCATGGATGGGCATGGAGGGGGGTCCTGTAGACCCATTGGCTTTGGTTGCTTTTTATGTCTTTGTACGATGTCTTCACCACCTTCCAAAAGGCCAGTGGGGTTGGGGCCATCTGCACCTCCGGGCAGGGCCTGTTCCATAGGGAGGCACCATGACAGCTGCACAGCTGCACAGTCCCCGGACCCCAAGGCAAGGGGTGGGGGGTGGGATGCAGAGCATGATCCACCACAGCCTCTTGCAGGAGCAAATGCCCTTAAGAATGAACACAGTTGCTTTGGGAAGTAGCATCTTAAGCAATTGCTTACACTAGCTGGTCTTCTCTAGCCAGCAGGACACATTCTTATTCTCTCCTTTTTGGCATTCTTTAAAAAGGGATAGGAAGGGAGCCTTTTTGAATACAAACTAGGTTTTTGGTTTAAGAAAAAAAAGTGTTGCTTCTCTTCCTTCCAGATTCAGTATCATCGACTCCTCCAAATTATGCTTATCCTGGGAATCGGAGGAACACTGCAGGTTGGCTTCCAAGGATCTATGATCACCTATGCATCTGTGGTAAGCAGCTCCCGTCCCAGGTAGGATCTGCATGGAGGATCTAATCAGTGCTTGGTCCCAGCTCTGCAGCACCTGCCTTGAACTCATCCCCCGAGGTTGAGAAGAAAGATGTCATTTACTGTATGGCTGAGCGTGTTTGGCAGAAGAGAAGAGGGCTGTGGGAGCATCTTCTGACTGCTTCTGTAGAATGGAGTGGTAGAAACAGTGGCAGTGTGGAAGGACCTTTCTACTGCAAGGGGTATTTTCCACACAATCACAAGACCAAATGCTGGGCAGATGACTTCAGGCACGGCTGCTGGACTCCCCAAATGGTGCTAGGCAATGCCAGTCTACCAAAGGACATCTCCCTTCATGCCCCCAAGATCCTGTTCTACTTACACTTTTTACATTAAAAAAAACAGAGTTAAAAGAATTGGTATAAAGAATATTAGCCTCTTCTTTATTACCAACAATGTGTTTGACTTTCAGTTTGCTGGTAGAGTGATTTTGGTTTTGGTTTTGTTTTCCCTCAAAAATAATGGCAGAAATGGGAGGCCTCTGGGAGACAGACACCTCCAAGATCCAGCCTCAAAAGCCCCAAGTGCCCCAACACATTGCCCCTTTTAGCAGAAGTTCTTTAGGGGTTTCTTCAGGAATGCCTCTTCGAGGCTCCCCACCTCCATTCCCATCTTTAAACATTCCCCAACCCCAAAAGGGTGCTGAAAAAATGGTTGTTTCCCCTCAGGAAATACCATGGCCCTTCCAGCAACTGGAGCAGCTTCTCTCAATTTGGGGGAAAGACTCTCTCTTTTGCAGTACAACATCCTCTGTATGTCACCACTTAATCTGGAAGTGGTCTTTAGAGACCTGAAAACACCCAAGAAAGATGCCTGGCTGGTTCCAAAATGTGCTAGGTTCTCATTTACTGAGCCTGATGGCCAAGCTGACTGATGGCCAACATTGTATCACTACAGGTAGCTTTGTCTGGGTTGTTTCTTTCTCCTCTTCTAGGAGTCTTCTGCTATTTCCTTCTTGTGGACTGTAACTGAGCTTCTACAGTAAGTGGCGATAAACCTGCCTAACTACATCCCTCTTTTCCAGCACATCAAAGAGTTCATCAATGAAACTTGGCTGGAGAGGTTTGGACATTCGGTCCATCCTGCAACACTCACCTTATTGTGGCCTTTGATGGTATCCATCTTTGGTTTGGGAGGTCTCCTGGGCGCCATGAGCAGTGGATGCCTGGCTGCCAGATATGGAAAGTAGGTCCCCATTGAATACTTTGCTTCCATCAAGGCTGTCCTGAGATCAGGAACAACAAGAAAAATATGCCAACAGTCAAGTCCCAGACAGTCCTTCAGCAGCCATTAGCACTTTCCTCTTCCGTCAGGCCTTTTCAGTTGCCCTAATAATATTTGTAATTGGCTGCTTGGTTGGTTTTTTAATTGTTATAATTTATATTTATTATAAGCCCCCTGAGTACCCTAGGGTCAGAAAAAGAGGAGGAGGAGGAGGAGGAGGAGGAGGAGGAGGGGGAAGAATATGCATCGAGGAAAAGAGGAGATGTGCAGCTGAGAGTCTGGTGGATGCTTTACCCATAATCAGAGTGAAATCATAACCTGATGCCATAGAATTACACAATAGGGATGAAGATCATTGGAAGTTTATCAGTTTTCAGTGGCTCCTCAGTGTTTGTATTAACAAAGTTGAACATATTTTGGAAGTCGTGCTAGGCGATATTTTAAAAAGCCAGTAACGTCAAATCAGCCAAGTTACCTACAGGGTAGAAATGTACCTTCCTAACCAGATTACAGTTAGTTTCTCCAGTTGTCAGGGGAGGTTTTTCTATGTCCTATGAAGACAGCTCAAAGATCTGAATGCATTTAGCTATGATAAAACTGAGAGGGACATGATAGCCCTGTTCAAAATCTCAAAGCCTGTGACACAGAAGGTCCAGACTGGTTTCCTCTTCTTCTCAAGTGGAGGACATGGGATGCATTTAAATTACTGGAAAGTGAAATCTTCCTGAATGTTAGAAAGAAAGTTCTTCAGTGGAATGAATGGCCCAAAGAGGCAGCAGCAATAGTCTAGCGAAGGACAGAGAACCATCTCTCAGGGATGTAATATAATGTAAATTCCCTTCATTAAAGGAATGCCCCAAAGGGATGGACTGGAAGGCCTCCAGGCTCCCTCCCATGCTATGATTCTCTGCACTCAGAGCAGGCATTCGCTTACAGCTACCACAGGGCCATGTATCTCCAGGCAATAACGTGAACTGAGGGATGTCACACAGCATGTCACGCAAACCATCAGCACTGGAGCAGGAGAGGGACCTTTTAATCCAAAAAGGCTCCAGAGTTACTTCAGGTTAACATGTTGTACAATCTGCAAAGAGAGGACATATTCTGGTCCTGCTGCCCAAACAATGGGGTGCTCTAAGCTGTGTCTTTTGCCAATCTTTCTATTTTTCACCACCCACCCCCTCCCCACACCCTGGCTGCCGACAATGGGGTGAGGGAGTCACAGGGTTTTTTCTGAAGGAAGTGATGGTTCACAGGAAGCTGGACCTCCTGTGAAGAGGCCACTCCCTCTGACACAGAAGTCCCATCTTCTTCCATCCATGGAGTACCTGCTTATGGGCCTCCTTAGCCACCCCTCCCTGCTTTTTTATGAACAGGAAGAAGTGCTTCTTGGGAAGCAACATGCTCATGCTGGCAAGTGCCTTCCTCTTGGTCTTCAGCAAGATGGCCAGATCTGTCGAGCTCATTTTGATGGGGCGTTTCCTGTGTGGCATCAGCGCAGGTATGCACTCACCTCTCACAACTGCTGGCTAGGCCCCCTTCAAGCAGGGCCAGGGGAACACATCATGACTAAGAGGGACAAGAGGCCAAATGGTCATTCCCAGGACAGAGGCGTCCATTATGTGAACATACAATCCCTGGGTCATAGAACCATTAATTTGGAAGGGCAGAGGAAGAGCCTCCAGCTTGAGCCCCAGAGGGCATCAGTGTCATTGCATTGTTGCACTGGCTGTGGGCTGCTACCTCTTGTGCTAAGCTCTCTTTCGCCTCCATCAAGATTTTGATTTAGCCAAGCCACATCAACAAATCCTTGGCTGAGTCAAAGTGATGAAAAGCTGAGTCCCACCAGAAAGAGTCAGGCGATCTGTCCTGGTTGGGGAGCCAGGCAGAACAAGGAGGCTCACCCAGTCCGCCCCACATCCTATGCAGCACTGTGCAGCATCAACCCCCCCCAATGTCAAGCCAGTTTCCAAACATTCAGCTCCCCATTTTGTGCCTCTCCCCTTGTGTAGCCAGACTGTTCTTGGTTAGCTCTGAAAATCAGGACTGATAGTGCAGCAAGCCCTTTTGCTTCTTGTGGTCCTAATAACTTTGTTATCTGCCTTCAATTCAAGGTGTGTGTATCCTTCTTCATCCCCAGTACCTCGGGGAAGTTTCCCCCAAAAAACTCCGTGGCTTTACTAATTCAACCGCGTCTGTGTTTTGGTGTTTGGGGAAAGTCCTTGGTCAAGTTATGGGACAAAGGTATAGTCACACTTACCTAAATGCCATGCTTTCATTTTAATTTTTCAGCATTGATGGCTGTAGTCATTAGAGCACAAGATAACAAACAGAAATATGTCTCATCTCTCTTACTCCACAAGCCTTTTGAAATAATCTGGGTTTTCTGTCTGCTTTACCAGGGAGCTTTTGGGAAGTGAGACCCTCTGGCCATTGCTGCTGGCCTTCAGTGGCATGACAGCCTTGGTCCCATTGCTCACTCTGCCATTCTTCCCTGAGTCACCACCTCACTTGCTCTTGCACAAAGGAGATGAAGAAGGATGTGTGAAAGGTAATAGATGACAACACTTCTTTTCCACAAGAAATGATAACATTTAAAACTCTCTGAGAACACAGCTCAAAAAGGCAGTGATGAACTGGAGCAGGTTCAAGGGAGGTTACCAAGATGGGGAGGGGTTTGAAAATGAAGCCCAATGCAAGATGATTAAAGGATCTGGACATGTTTAGCCTACAGAAGAGACAACCGAGGGGAGATGTCAGAGCAGTCTCAGGTCAGTCTGTAATAAGGCTGCCCTCATCTGTGAGTTGATCACGGATGGGAGGGCTGACCTGGCATGTGTTTCTGAGACTGGCTGGGCTCGGAGTGGGAGTGTTCCTCTAAGAGCTTTGCCCAGCCAGGTTTCGGGTGTAGCATCAGCCAACACCTCAGGGCACGGGTGGAGAAGTGGCAGTTGACTCTTAGATGGCTTTCTGGGGCATCATGTGACGTCACACCTAATCATCATGCTGGATTTGTTTAACAATAGCAACTGGAACTGCTGCAACTGCCATCGTAAGCATCACACGATGTTATGCTTTATGACCACATCATTTAGTGATGGAGTTGCCAGTCCCAATCACTGTTGTTAAGCAAGGACTACCTGTATATAGTTTTTATGGTTCTTAAATTGTTGTATTATTTTGGTGTTTTTATATTGTTTTTAATTGTTTGTCAGCTGCCCAGAGTCATCTATTTGAGACGGACAGCTATATAAATTGGGTAAATAAATAAATACCAAAGGGTTTTCACATAGAGTGGACTCATTCCCTGTTGCCCTGGAGAGCAGGGCCAGAACCAATTCAAAGTCCATGCAAGAAGGTTCAGGCTAAGCACCAGGAACAACTTCCTGACTGTGGGAGTGTTCGCCAGTGGAAGGGGTGAGTTCTCCCCCTCTCTTGAGGTCTTCAAACAGAGGCTAAGTTGCCATCTGTCGAAACTGCCTTAACAGAACCTGCACTGAGCAGACTCTCAGATCCCTTCCAGTTCTGTGACTTTATAAACAATCTTGGGTCTCACGTTCTCTGAGCTGGATAATCCTGCCCACTCCCCTTTTTCAACTTTTCCTTTCGTTCCTCAGTCAGTGTGACAGTTTCACACTGCAAAGCATCACACACACTCCAACTCCCATGTGCTTTTCCTCCACAGAAACAACAGCTGCACCATTTCTGGCCTGCCACAAAGCAGAGCTGGCTCCAGGAAGAAATGTGCCAGGTGGTTCTGCTACCAGGCAGGAAGTCAGATGAGATGTATCTGCTGGGCCCAAAGTTGTGTCATGTGGCAGTGATACTCCATGCCCACATCCCTGTCATGAGACGGCTTGTTTCTCATTCCTAGCAATGAAGACCTTTTGGGGGGAAGGGTCTCACCAGGCAGAGCTGGATGACTTGCAGGAGGAGCGTGTGGCCCTGAAGAGCACCCAGAGCAAGAGTGTCCTTGAGCTGGTGAAGGAGCCTTCCCTGCGCTGGCAGCTGTACATGCTGCTTGTCCTTGTGGTGACCACACAGCTGAGCGGCATCCAGGCAGTTGAGTGAGGCCCTTGGGGGGGGGGGGACGACACCTTTCACTTTCACACACACTTTCACTACAATTTCCTTTGACCTATTTTTCCCTTGGGATTTGAACCGGTTGTTAGCTGCAGAGATGCAGGGTTTCCAAGTCCCGACTGGCTTTTACTTCCCTTCCATCCTAAGCCTGGTTTGTTCTACCATGTCCCCAACTCACTCCCCTCTGTGGAAAAGACCCTCCCCTTGGTCCAGGACTGCTCCTAGGCAGTTGTGGGCAGCTTCCCACTGCCAGTGAGGGTCCTCTGACAACTTCTTATGGTTCCCCCTCTTCAGATTTACTCCTACACCTTTGAAGTGCTCCAGACAGCTGGGTTTCATCTTGAATCCATCCCCTACTTGGCTCTTGGAGTGAGCCTCTGTG